CATCATCATCATCATCATCATCATCATCATCATCATCATCATCATCATCATCAACTAAACAGTTCCCCTTTTTCTTGTTTTGTTTTTCTTGTCAATACATTTTTACGAAAGGTACAAATATCGGCACCAAAAGCAGGACATGGGACCAAAAAAAGAAAGGTGAGACATGGGTTTCTCTAAATTCTGTGCACCGTGTCCTTTTTGATAAATTAAGTAACACCAGTTTTAGTTGCAGTTAAGATCAAACGTAACTTCAGACAGACATGTGTTTTTCTAACTTCTTTTTAGTATGTTCTTTTTATATTAATATTAGAGTATAACCAATTTATTGTAGATACGGTTATGAATAACAGGATTTCAGACAAGAGTGGGAGAAGTGGTTCTCTAAATTCTGTGTGGCGTGTTCTTTCTTTTTTTTCTTACAGTATCACCAACATCTAGCTCAGACTGGCCAAATTGAAGGCAGACGAGGCAGGGATAGGCAAAGAGCAACCTATATTGTACTTTGGGAACCTAAACAAATGGGTAACAGGAAAAGATAAGGTAAACGTAGCTTTTTTTAGAGCATCCGAGCTAAAGAATAAATGGAGAACCATGATCGCCGATGTCTGTCGCAGATCTGGCACTGGATGATGATGATGATGATACTGCTTCGTAGTTTTAGCGCGTCATCAATAAAAGCATCACCCTAGCTTCCTCCTCTCAGCCAGTCAGCTACCATATGAACCAAGGGTTCAAAGTTCAAGGTTTCTCTCGGAAATCCCCCCTTATCGTCTGCCAAACGAGCGGGCGGTCAGTATTTGTGGTGGGCAAAATCCGGATAATCTATCCGGATAACCGGAAAATTCTCAACGAAACATTATAATCCAAATTCAGACTCTTAAACTCTCTTTTCTACCCCGTTTGCTGAGTGGGTGCACCAAGAATTGTTGAAGTGATGCTAACCCGTTTGTCGAAAACGGTTCTAACCCATTTGCCGACGTAGTTCATATCATATTATATTAATTAATCGCCGAAGAGGTGCACTGACATGTTTAATAATAGTAATAATAATAATAATAATAATAATAATAATAATAATAATAATAATAATAATAATCATAATAATTGCATTTATATAGCGCGTATCCATGCTCAAGACTCAAGAGCATGCTCTATGCGCTTTACAACTATTATTACCCCCAGCAGACCCTCTGAGAACACTCAGAAACATTCTCGGCTTCCACGGAAGCATAAAGTGCAAGCTGCGGATTTACGCTCTCAAACAATATCAAACTGACAAGATCGTTCACTGTGTATAGCCGGGTACCCATTTCCACCTCGTTGAAGTGAGGAAAATATGTGCAAAGTGCCTTTCCCAAGGACAAAACTTCGGGCCCCTGACGGGATTCGAACCCACGACCTTAATTACGATAGCGAATCCGAGAGCCTAACAACTAGGCCACCGGTTTCGATAAAGCGACTCGTTGCCCAGCCCTAGTCAGTAAATCAAAGTGTTTGTTCGGTTAGAGCAGGCCACAGCTGTATTTACATTATTATTAGAAACACTTTGTGTGGGCTAACTGACAGATTTCCAACATGTATTCCGTAATTGGTATTCTGCTTGAATTTGCTTACAAATAAAAGCGGGGGTTATTCTAACGTCTGCGAGATCAATAATGATGTTTGGGGATTTGGGAAAGTGAATGAACTTTGAGGAAGGATCTATAAACGTACTCGAAGGTCACCCGAAAAAGTAAAAAAACAAACCGTTTTTGTTGTTTGTTTTTTTTCTTTTTGTTGTTTTTTTCTGTGTTCAGTTTTATCTCTGGGATTATTATCCAGTCTCGAAACATTTTGTTATTCATAAGCATTTTTTTAAAAATCATTGTAAAATTGTGTTATCACAAAACGTGCCATACATTGTCAATCAATTTGAAATTTAAAGGCTAGTCGTTAAAATACCTTCCTACTTTAGGTACATCCAAGAAGTTTACAGTTTTAAGCTCCTTGGGCTAGCTGCGTTAGTTAACATTTCTTTTTGTCCAAAAGTTGCCAAAAGTTGCCACAAAAATGGCAAAAGTTGCCAAAAAAGTTGCCATTAATTTTCAAGCTTTCAACTAGCTATGACGACGTAATAAATTGATAGAGATAACTTAATCTAAAGCACCAGAATTTCTTGTGCTCTGTTTTAAGCATCCAGAATATTATTTGTAGCTACACATAGTGTAAAAACGTGAAAAATAATGGTTTCACAACAGAATGAAATCAACATTAGAATAGCACACAAACAACCACAACCACAAAAAGTAACAAATAAGGGCGTGTGTCCACATTTCCGAAGATTGACCGTTTTAACCCTAATTACATGTAAATTATGAAATCACACACAAGGGGCCTGCCAGTGTCAGTATTCAGTTTTGGTGGAGACACGCTCTAACATTACACATTTATATTATTTTTTAAATGTAGGAACATCAAATTAAATGATATTACGCTATATAAACACACCAACAAATAGATAAGAAAAATAGCCCCCAAAAAACTAACACACCAACAAAGAGGGAAAATAGAAGACAAATGTGTAAAATAATTTTTTTTAAAGTATGCAATGTACTTATTATTATTACTCGCGTGGAAATAACTGTACTTGGACATCTTAGAATTATCAAAATACACGACTATGTTATGAAGTAGCCTTTTCTGTTTGAAAAATGAAAAAATCGCGGAAAAATGCGACCCCGAAAACGCAGATGCTAGCTTGGGACATGTTAGCTTGGGACATGTTAGCTTGGGTACATCAAACATCTCACCTTACCAGATAACTGACGTCAACTGGAACATCATGAAAATGTTTAATGATACTCTTCAGTTGAAACGAAACAAAAGAAAATATTATAGATTTAATCACAAATTATGGTGTTTCTTTCCGAAATATAAATTCCCAAATTAGGTATTCCCAAGGGTGTCTGTGGTGCAGCAGTTAGGCACTTCGCTGTCGCACGCAGGAGAACAAGTTCGAAATCCAAGTGAGGTAAATGTTTAATGTATCCCCCTCGTCCCGAAAGGTCGGAGACCGCCTCCTAAATGATCTGAAGTGTGTCTGTGAAGGGGGAGAATATTGTTAGGGACACAGAATTCTACACTCAGAATTCTACATTTAGTGTAGAATTCTGTGGTTTAGGGATCAGAAACGGGTGTGAAAGGGGGTAACTTGTAGAGAAGAGAATTTTCCGTCGTTACCCGGGACCTATTGATTGAGAGGCGAACTCCTTAGCCTCTTTACCTCTATGCCACGAGAGCCGCCGCACGCACTCATGACCATATTATACAGGCGTGAAATATATCCCCGACACACTCGCACTATAAAAATAATATGCCTACCATAGAAGGTTTCTTTGTCTTCCACTGTTATCTTCCATCTTTTATTTTTATTTCTCTTTTATCAAACTCTTTCGGCCAGACACTTTTTAAACGATAATTTGTCTAAATGGTGAAAGCTTAAAGCTCACTTGTTAGTATCAAACGGCTGACATCATCCATCTAACCTTTGACTTTATTAGCACAGGGAATGAAACAAGACGCAGAAGACTGTAGCCTAGTGTTCTTATAATAAGATCTAAAATCTCGGTTCACACAGCCCTTCAGGAAAGGTGAATCTTGACATGTATGGGTTATCAGCTCGAGCCTGAGAGAGATTAGAGGCTGCCTCTTCCGCACTTGAGTCGTTCGTGGCTCTTTCTCTTCATAGTTGTCAAGTACCATAAGCCAATAGCCAGCTACTTGCCGCCCTTAGAATCTATATCCTTCAGGGTCAGAGGTCAATTGATTAGCATACAATAACATGAATTATACGTTAGGGCCTAGCCTAAGAACGAGTGCTGCAGACCTCGGAAGTGGGCGGGGCTGACCTGACGAGC